TCTTTTGAGCCAAAACTTTATATTTTGTTTACTGTAGGGAAAAGTGTATTATAAGTTTTATTAACTATATGGAAAGGAGTATATTCAGGAAAGCTTCGAGAAAACCTACAAAAACTAAGAGACCAAACCATTAATCTCTGATATTGTCATTCTTCGTGTCAAATAAACAAACAGAAGATGGTCATGACTTACATTAAACAAATATTGAAATGAAGATTGAAGCCAAAAATGATGTCATAAGAGATACAGCTTGTGCAGATATGACATCTGAATCAAGTGTAAGATACTCCTGCTAAATAATCAGATACTGATTTTGTGTATACATAATAAAAGCTATAATGTTTGCATATTTGAAATACAGAATGGGTTCAATTTGTAAACAAATTTCGATGCCCCCATTTGAAGCATTAATTAAATGTTCCACGCAGGCGGGGCGCAGCTTGATACGACCGCAGAAGTCGAACCCTGAACAGTATGGGCAAGTATGGACACTTCATTCAAGCTTGATACAGCTCTGAATTTGAATTGTGATTAAATGTTTGACACAGAATAGGTTTCTGACATAGAATGAATGTGGTAAAAGATCTTAAAGATTTGAAATTGGACATTTATTTATTATGGTCCAATATCCAAAATCTAAATGCACAGTTAGATTCGGCATATCAAAGTACAACAATAATTTAATTTTTGATGAAATAACATTTTTTTTTATTTTGGACCCTTTCGACCTCAATGTGGACCAATTTGATAACGGGCCCAACATCCAAAATCTAAATACACGGTTAGACTCAGCAAATTAAAGAACCAAAGAATTCAATTTTTGTTAAAATTAAACAAAGTTTAATTTTTGATCCTTTGGACCTGAATGTATACCAATTTGAAAACAGAGCCCAAAATCCAAAATCTAACTACACACGGTTATATTTAACATATGTAAGAACCCCAAGATTCAAGACTTTGAATTAAACCCCATTGCAATTGGTCACGAAATAAGCAATTTATACAAAGTATTAAAAAAGTATTGTTTTGACCCCTTTTTGGTCCCTTATTCATAAACATTTAGGGCCATAACCCCAAAAAATCAATCCTTCCTTTTTTGGTATAGAACCTTGTTGTACACTTTCATAGAAATCCATATACTTATACACAAGTTATTGTCCTGAAACAAGTAAATACTTGTTTTTGGCCCCTTATGCCTAAACAGTTAAGACAATAACCCCAAAAAACAATCTCAAACTTCTTTTTGTGGTATGGAACCTTGTGGAACATTTTTGATAGAGATCCATACACTTATACGCTAGTTATTGTCTAGAAACCAAATGTCTTCGGGCGACGACGGCATCTCCATACCATTATACGGCCGCAAATTTTTGCGTTCGTATATAACATTGGATACCTTTTCCATTTTCATCCTACTAGTATCCTCTTTTTTAGGTTACAAATGACCGGTGCCTTTCATGATTTATTACCCTTCCAATGTCCGATTTTTGTCCATTTTGGCGTCTTTTTTACTAATATTTTGAGAAAAGTAATATGTAATGGGAAAATTGAACAGCTATTTTAAATGATCAGCAATGCAAAATTTACAAAAAATGACCATACTTGAAACTTGTGTATCAACTTCTTATAGAAAAAAACTACCTCTAAATAGGAAACACATTTTCAATGGAAACAAACTATTTTGTTTGCTTCCATTCTTAAACAAATAATATAAAAATAAGAAGATGAGGTATGATTGCCAATGAGACAACTATTCACAAGGGACCAACATGACACAGAAATTAAAAACTATAGGTCTCCAACAATGAGTAAAACCCATACCGCATAGTCAGCTATAAAAGGCCCCGAAATGACAAATGTAAAACAATTCAAAAGAGAAAACTAAGGCCTGATTTATGTACAAAATAATGAACGAAAAACAAATATGATATACAGCAACAAACGACAACAACTGAATTACAGGCTCCTGACTTAAGATGGGGAAACATACAGAATGTGGCGGGGTTAAACTAGTTTGAATGCGCGCCAACCCTCTCCTAACCTGGGACAGTGGTGTAACAACATTAGAACAAACTATAACAATCAGGTGGAAATGCCTAAACTTATTAGATCGATACAAAACAGAAATGCATCTAACAAATACACAGAGTGGACGTGGCAGGGTACTTATACATCCCCACAATAAAAAGACACTAAGTACAGATCTGCGAGAACTCACAGTTACTGAAAAGTAAAATTACAAAAATACCGAACTGCAGTGGAAATTCAAAACGGAAAGTCTTTTATAAAATGGCAAAATCAAAAGCTCTAACAACTGTCATATTCCTGACTTGGTACAGGCATTTCCTTATGTAGAAAATGGTGGATTAAACCTGGTTTTAAAGCTAGCTAAACCTTTCACTTGTATGACAGTTGCATTGAATTCCATTATATTGACAACAAAGTGTGAGAACAACAAACAGACATAATAGGTAAAATTGTCAAAAATTGGGGTACAGCAGTCAACATTGTAATATAATCTTAATCACTATAAAAACAAATATCTGTTTAAACAAAGAAACACAAAATGGCATATAGACAAAGTACATAAGCAAAAATGAAAGACAACAAATCAAAATTGACCATAGCACAATAACACAATGGCGGGATGTATAAGTACCGAGCCACGTCATATGTATTTAATCAAAAATGGACTAAACAGTAAACGTTAAAACTATACATGGACAAAACAAGGAAACTTTAACACGTAATTAAGATGATGAATAACATCAGTATCTAGAATATATATCCTTCAAGACCATCATGTATAATTTGTGAAGTTGATACGGAATATTTATCAACAAGGTCTTGGTATCTTCCAATGACGTTCTTTAACATAATCTTGGCTCATCAACTTTCAGCTTAGACACTGATGACAGCTAGTTCAAAGCCAATAACAACTAATAAAACATTCATGCATCTTAGACTAAAATATCAATCAGTACGCATCCAACATCAAATAGATTTAGTAAAGACGTCATTAACAGTCAGAGAAAAACATGACCTTGTGCAATGCCAATATACAGGTATCGACAGATTGTAGAGCCATGAATGTGCATATGTATATAAAGATAATATTTAGTTTGGTTTTAATTTACTGATCACAAAATCAATATCAATACCATTTAAAACAATATTCAAAGATCTAATTATAGTGTATGTCTTTTTTATGAAATTTGGAATTAAACAATTAAAAAAAAGACCCCCCCCCCCCCCCTCCAAATAAAAAAAAAACTAGCCTTAGCCCTTTGATGCCTTGAGTCTTAATGTGTATATACGAGTGGCTTCCCACGAAACCTTTTATGTTGCGGGTTTCTGTCTAGTTGAAGCTGTACAATAAATGCGCGAAAACGTTGTAAAAAGCTGCACGCAAATGCAATGCACCGAGTTGAAGTTCATCCCATATCTCCTTTCATCTATACCGTGGGGCCTCGGTGGCCGAGTGGTCTAAGTAGTCGAGCAACTTTTTCACTAGCCTGTCCACGCTTAAGTTGAGAGTTCGAATCCGGCACGTGGCAGGTACGATCGACTCTAATCTTAATTGATTAGAATTGCCATTTTCCTACAGAAAGTCAGTGGGTCTCTCCATGTACTTTGGCTTCCTCCACCAATAAAAACTGACCGCCACGAAATAGCACGATAGTGCTGAAAGTGTCGTTAAACACAAAGCAAGCATTCAATCAATCAATCAATCAATCATCCATACCAGTATAATTATGCATGAGTAGAATAATTACATTAAAAAAAAGTAGAATATCCTCTAGCAGATCAATTATTTGAACTCCAGGTTCTCAGTACACAGTCCAGGACTCAATATTTAATTACCTTAACCTTATGTTCATTATTATAGACCCATTCATTAAATTTAAACTTTGCAATTCATATTTTGACAATTTTCCAACAATATCAGATGTGATTTTTTCATCTTTCATCTTAGCAACGTGACAAGGTTTATCTCTTTTAAAATCTCATCCATTTTCCAAACAAAAGTTACAGATTTGAGCCGGGTTTATAGTAATTCCGAAGAAGCAGATCGGAATCAGTTATGACGTAGACAGTTATCGTTCTAATCGTAATCATGTTTATTAACCATTATAACGACGGAAGCACATCATATAAGGCCGTTTTGACATCATATAATGAAGTAAACCGAACCACATCATATAATGTTATAAGCACTTAATATAATGACAAAAGCACATAATATAATGGCACAACCACATCATATAAAGATGTTTGCACATAATATAAGGGAAAATGCATATCATATAAGGATATTTGCACATCATGTAAGTATATTAGCACATCATATAAGTACATTTGCACATCAGATAAGGATCTTTGCACATAAGACAGTTTTGGCATTCCATAAGTGCGGTGGAAGGTCTTCCGTTTCATATTTACGCTATACTCGTATTTTTATTTTCATAAGCTCACGAATACACTACTATCGTTTTATATTGATCCATGTAACCTTATTTTTAGGTTCAAATCTAATTTTGTTCATCGGATCATAAATTGTTTAATGGGCACAAAAAAAATCCAAAATCAAGATGCGGGAGCCACAAAGTTGGTCTTCAGGCAGAGGGGCTTACATTCATGTACGCTGTTTTGGAAAAACGGGTACGTTGTGGAACGAACTTAATGACACAGTCTCACATTCATTTGATTGTTTTTCTTATGTTTATAATTCACCTGGGTTCCAACGATTAGGGTAAAGTAAAAGCCATTGATTTTGTTCAGATCTTTGAAAGGTATCTTCTATGCCAGCAGTAATTTTTACCTAACACTCGCATAGTGTAGAGTGAAATTATAATGATAATATATTGGCATGCAGCGAAAGGTAAAAAGATTTTAAGCGAGATCGAAAACGATTGATGTATTTCTGCGTATCTTCCTACTCTCTTTTAATCACTTTTCGAAAGTATCACATCACAAAATTGTAAAAAGCTTCAACTCACCATGATTTGACAGATTCTTGGAAATGGCCGATTCAATATATTGTTCAACTTTCCTATTGAGGTCGTTACGTCCTGTAAGTTGCAGAAACCTTGACAGTTGTTCAACGTTTTCGGCTGACAACATGCATCTTCCTTCCAACAGTTGTATAAGATCTGTTCCTGTTATAATTTTCTCCAGGTCACCTCTTCCAATATAACTTCTTATTAGGAATTTAATGATTTTTATATCGTCTATAAATAACAAAAAAATTCATTGACACATCGAATACAGACTCATCGAAAGAGGGTGCTGGGTATACATTAATGAGACAGCAATACTTACGAAACAAATCTCCGGTTTTATGAGTTTCTTTCATTTTCCTAATATATATAAAATATAAATAAAAAGATGTGGTATGAGTGCCAATGAGACAACTCTCCATCCAAGTCACAATGTATAAAAAGTAAACAATTATAGGTCAAAGTGCGGCCTTCAAAACGGAGCCTTGGCTTAAACCGAACAGCAAGCTATAAAGGGCCCCAAAATAACCAGTGTAAAACAATTCAAACAGGAAAACCAACGGTCTAATCTATATAAAAAACAAGAAACGAGAAGCACTTATGAACCACACCAAAAAACGACAACCACTGAACAATAGGCTCCTGACTTAGGACAGGTGCATACAAATGCAGCGGGTTTAAACGTTTTAACAGGTGCCAACCTTCACCCTAACCTGAGATAGTAGTGTAACATTACAACATAAAAAGATACACGATACAATATCAATTGAAATGGCTTAACTCGATCAAAAAGACATATAAACAAAAACAGGTAAACATACACTGAACGAATAAGTTTGATCTATGACACAATTTAAATACAATATTAATAAAAAAAAGATGTAGTAACAGTAACTCTAACGTGGGACAACATGCCGTTAAATAAAATAGCGTACACAGGTAAATTTAAATATAATAATTTTATTGTTAACGTTATGAGTAAGGAAACATTTTTTTACAAAAGTAACAAATTTGTTGTTCACAGTACGAGTACAGAAGTGAAAATTTATCGTCATACTAAATACTTATCGAAGGTGGTACATATTGAAAATAGTGAGACGAGATATAACACAAAATGAGTAAACATTGAATTACAGAAATGCATTACAAATTGTGTCAACAGGTCAAATTAACACGAAAGTATGATTTAAGGGCTGATCCAAACGTTCACGGGCAAAGCTTGTCAAAAAACAATTTCAAAGAAATTTGTGTCAAATGTGAATGCTTAAAGCCAAGTTTTTGATAGAGTTTAATTTATCAGTATATTAGTTGTAACAGAAAGGAAGATGTTATGTTGTCTTTATTAATGTGATTAATATTTCATTATTATTTCATTTATCCTGAAAATCAATTTTTTTTCTGTAAAAGTACCCGCTGAAAACTACTACCTAAGTTATATCCGTAATGACAATAATCCAACACAAGTTTATTACTTTCAGGCTATCTTCATACATGTATGAATAAAATCATATCTCTTAATTGATGTTAAATGGTCCAATAAAAGATATATTGATCTAACAGGGCATATTTACCAAAGCATTTATCATCTTAAACAGTTTTATGTTATTCTAAATATCGCTATGCGCTATCTCAGTTAAAACTTTTCTGTACCGTTATCCGAATGAAAACAAAATAGAAGTTTTTCAAGCATGATCCTCTTTGACGTTTGTGTCTTGAAATCTTATTCCGTCTTACCCGTTTTGAGACCTCATACAATGCCGTTATATTTCATAATAATAGTAAAATAGGCATTGGAAATTAATATAATCAATTTGTAATCGTAATTTAAATGGAATAAAAGATTATTGTAATATTTTCAGTAATATGAAAATGAAAATTTTTGTTAAAAAACGGCTTAAAATGGGAGTAAAGATACAAATTTAAAATTTTTGAATTTTAAAATAATATTTCAAATCTCGTTCTATTATCTCCTATTGCAACAAAATTTAGCTCCCTATTTGCAAGCACGATTCAAAAAGTGATGAATAATTTTGTGTTGTAGAACGAGAGATTGACGGACAAGAGATGTGTTAACATCAACGTTAATAGACAATGAGGTTACCTTGAGATAATCCAAATGCTACTTCCGTTGTTAAGATCCGATAGCTGTCAAAAACAATTGATTCCATGACGTTTTTCTGCCGAAGATGATGCTAATTTGTTAGAACTGGATGAGTATGCATACGACTTCGATGAATCTGTAACATATCTTATACACGTATCACTTATCATGCATCAAATTGGTTGTCACATTTTCAAACTGGATCTTCAACAGGATAATTGATATATGTATGTAAAATTTGTTTTTTAATCTACAAAATGTATTTTATTTGCAATGTGATAATAAACACAAACATTTGAATGCTCTATTTTAATTATAATGCAGTACTCAAGTAGCCGAGGTAAATATTCCACATTCAGTTTATGTTAACACGTTTAGATATATCGTCAGCATGCTTAGTATATAGACTATGTATCAAAACTACCAACCAATAACCTATCAATAAATCAATCAACCAGCATATCAATCAATTATTCAATGAATCTTACATGGCTTTCAGAATGTCAATTTGCGGTTTTGGATAATTGTCTTCCTGACCGGGAATACGCATCATAAAAAAGTCGATGAGCTGAAATAATCATAAAGGATAAGATGTTAAGTTCAACTATGCTATAGAAACAGGGCTACCAGTATCCAGGAACAATATTGAATAGAAAACGGGGGTAATACAACGAGTAAAATATAATTACACATTCATTAATTAATTTCGAGAGAGTAAAGAGGGACGGTAGATACCAAAGGGACATTCAAACTCATAATCTGAAAAAAGAACTGAAAATGCCATGGCAAAAAAAAAAGAAAAACGACTAAAAGACAAACAAGTGTGATGAAAACTAAAGAATATGCAATACGAACCCAACCGAAAACCGGGATGATCTCAGTTTCTAAAGACGGGTTAGATGATCCTGATTAGAAGATGTGGCACCTGACGTGTCACTCATGTAAGTACAACGTTGGTGAAAAGTCTAGTTCGGTAGATCCCCTTTCGAACAAAACAAGAATGGGATTGTGGTAACAACAGTTAAATCATATCCGTCGCGATTGTCATCTGTGAAACAGTTAATCCATAACGGCCAATCAACTCGTGATGGCGTCCGTAAATATTTCAGAGGGAAAACTTCAACTTTACCACTTTGAAAGCTTGGTTTGATAGCTTCTTTTCAAGCACCAACCCTCTATCAAGGACATCATGATACAAAATTCAAGCTCTTGAATATCGTATCAACTGGGAAATATACACTCGATATGCCGCTGATGACATGTTGCTACATAGAAATGGAAAATTCGCAATTTGTAAGCTGCAATCATCTTTTTGTCGCAATTTTTTGTTCTTAAATGACCCTTATTGTCAATTTCTGCATTTAAGTGAATATATTAGGCAGACTTAACTGTATATTCTGTATCCTTATTTTGAATTCGATGAGATAGATGCATGCAAAATATTCACCAAGCTTTAAATTATTTAGTGAGATAACATCATCTGTAAAGCGGGACGTGAAGTAAAATAATAGTTATATCTTCTTTTCATACTTCATAAGAAGCTCATGTATGGAGTCTGCCTCATATGAATCTTGAAGCAAGTAAGGCACAATTGATTACCACAGGCAAGCCGATTGTTTGTTGAAAAATACGTCTGATAAACGTAAAAAATGTGTTGTCAATCTAGAAATCAAGCAACTTTATAATACTAATTTTTTGTTTGAATCAGTGTGTTTTTACAAAATACAATTTATCCCGAAAAAAAAACATATTTGTATTTATGTTGGCTGTTAATTTTTTCTGAATCAACATAGGACCAATCTTTTTAATTTGTCTTTTAGTTTAGAATGCAAATAATTGTTTAAAGGGTGTAAAATTTAAATGTTTTGATAATATTGTAAGATGGAGAGAGACTAAGATTTTATAACTCTTACAGCTCTTTGGAATTGTGAAGTATCTAAATCTGATTCACACCACCCCCTAGAGTAGATAGATTCACAATAGCTTTGATTGCTGATAAAATTGATGTTAATAGTATAAAAATAGGTTAAGTGCAGCACATGGAAGACCTAATAATATAATGTTGTTAGTAAGGACACTAATGTAATTTAGGTATTCAATATAGCGAAGGAAAATCCATTTCTTCATCTTTCGTTAAATTTTCAAAGGAACGTAGAACAGACCTATTATTTTCTTTGTCGACTGTCGTTGGGATATATTTTTATTTCCCAAATGAATAGTTAATTCCTAATTCTTTTATCCATATAAAAATAAGGAGATGTGGTATGATTACCAATGAGACAAATATCCATCTGAGATCCAAATGAACTGGAATGAAACAATTATAGGCAACTGTACGGCCTTCAACGATGAGAAAAACCCATTTCGTAAAGTCGGCTATAAAAGGCCCCGACATGCAAAATGTTAAACAAATAAAATGAGAAAACTAACGGCCTAATTTATAACAAAACAATTTGCGAAAAACAAATATAAAAGACATGAACCAACGCTAGCAATGTATGTAATGTCTTTTACTCACGCAAACGATGTTGTTTTGGGCTTTATCTTCGAGGACAATGACATATTTCTTAAGGAGATAGGACATATGCTTAGCAACATTTGGATCTTTAACGGTAGATGTAGCATGTATATTCGTAGATCCATTCAGATTTGTAAATCTAATTCGTATCAACCTCACAGCCTTAACACTTTCGGAAAGAGTATCTACGTCTCATTTTTGCATGTAGCCCATTGCTTTACATAATCCTCTACCAAGTCCATCGGTATTTTAAAGTTCTGTTTCCAATTGACGAGTTGAAATCCCACAACACGTTTGTAATTGAAAATTTCAGACGCACTTGGTTTGGTCTAGGTATAAGAAATGATAGGTAGAGACTTATTTTGAACGTACAAAGTTATACTAGATTGAACTGATGTATGACGAAGAATATTGTGCAAGATGATGGCGTCTAGAGCTTTGTTGGCAAAGGAAAGTTTTTGCTGAAGCATTTTATCTTTTTCGATGCGAATCGGTCTGAATAATCTGGAAATATGCGAGATAATAACTGAAAGTAAACATACAGTAATCTCAAGACAGTAGCATGCAAGAATAATACTACATAAAAGTTGTAAGTAAAATAAACTGTTTTGACTTAATGTAAAATGCAGTATATAATTACCTCTTTATGATAAACATAAATACTCCGCAGAATTCAACATTTTCAGAGAAAATATTATACATTTCACTAACTAGTTTCGTAGTTAGAAGGAAGAAGGAAGTATTTAACATTCATAATATGTAAAGGATTTAGATCAATCAATGCTTACCTTGAAAGGTGACATTTAAATCTCTCACGTTCAACTATTTTTATAGTTCGTCAATTGAATTGTTCAATGATAAGGTAGTTGGTAAAGGTGTATATAATATTATATTCAAAGGTTTTAAGGTATGTATAGTAACCGGCTAAGTTCGTGTTTTTCGAGTGTGGTCGGTGTTTTTCGTATGAATATGATGCGAAATGTAAACAAACAGACATTTCTCCTGGTATCAGGTGAAACCGAAACTTACATATAATATATAAATATAAGAAGTATTTTAATTTTTAATTTTAGTTCATTTATATGTTTTGGAGTTTAGTATGACGTCCATTTTCACTGAACTAGTACACATTTTTGTTAAGGGGCCAGCTGAAGCCCGCCTCCGGGTTCGGGATTTTCTCCATGTGTTGAAGACCCTTGGTGGACTTCGGCTGTTTTCTGCTCTTTGGTCGGGTTGTTGTCTCTTTGACACATTCCCCCTTTCCATTCTCAATTTTATAGTATATATAAAACGTTATTATTAAAAACACATTGTTTGAAGTTATACAAATTTAAAGAGAGGCGAAAGATACCAGAGGGACTTTCAAACTCAAAAGTCGAAAATAAACTGACAACGCCATGGCTAAGAAGAAAAAGACAAACAGACAAACAATAGTACACAAAACACAATATAGAAAACTAAAGACTGAGCAACACGAACCCCACCAAAAACTTGGGGTGATCTCATCGTAAGCAGATCCTGCTCCACATGTGGCACCCGTCGTGTTGCTCGTGTTAGTACAAACCCCGGTAATACGTCTAATTTGGTAGGTCACATTCGGGGAAAAGGGACGGGATTGTAGTTACGACATTAGGAACATATTCGTTATCATCTGTGAATAAATCCTTAGAATGGTTTTATTCCAAATTGTCAAATAAACCCATTCTAATACAAATGCGAATGTAAAAATCAATGTAAATGCGGTCATAGAAATTATGTATCGTTACATTTACAGACACTTTACAGAATTACTCGTATTTTCGACGGGTTAAAATGTTATCTGTTAACGCATTTACTATAAAAAAAAATACAAATAAGGTACTTTTAAAAACAAAAACAAAAATCACATACAAAACAGTTACAACAAAACGAATTTAATTGATAATGCTGTATATACAAATAAGATGTGGTATATTTGCCAATGAGACAACTATCCACAAGAGACCAAATGACACAGAAATTAACAACTATAGGTCACCGTTCGGCCTTCTACAATGAGTAAAACCCATACCGCATATCAGCTATAAAAGGCTCCGAAATGACAAATGTAAAACGATTCAAACGAGAAAACTAACAGCCTGTATTATGTACAAAATAATAAATGATAAAACAGCAACAAACGACAAACACTGAATTACTGGCTCTTGAATTGGGACAGGCTCATACAGAATGTGGTGGGGTTAAACTAGTTTGAAGGCGTATATGCACACATTTCCTCCATAAAGTGTCGTTCAATTGTAGGTTTTTTGTTTATATCTATCTTAAGCGTGTATTTATATGTTGTTGTATTTTAACACAAAACGAAGACTGGTAGTTTTCATTTATTAGTATCATATATGTGAAATTTGTGTTATCTATCCAGACCTGGAAAAGAAATATATTGTACTAAAAATAATATAAAACTGTTATCATTTTGAAAATGAATCCGAACATCTAGCTCTAAATCGTCTAAATTCCAAGAAAGATTGGAATAAATCCAAACCAAAACCAATCAAGATTTGAAATTGTTACATCGATCCGAGTTTGATATTCGATAACAGTTACACTCAGCAATTAATTCAGCACGGGGAGTTTTACTAGTGAAGCAGGAATTGCTGACCCTTCTGCAGTTCATGAGTTCACCCTTGTCCCATTTTCCACGTATTATGAAGGGTTCGTGTTGCTCCGACTTTTAGT